TATCTCACCTCTCTGTGGATACTGGTGTATTGAAGGGGAAACTACTATGATCTATCTCACCTCTCTGAGGATACTGATGGATTGAAGGCAACTACAATGATCTATCTCACCTCTCTGTGGATACTGGTGTATTGAAGGCAACTACAATGATCTATCTCACCTCTCTGTGGATACTGGTGTATTGAAGGCTACCATGATCTATCTCACCTCTCTGTGGATACTGGTGTATTGAAGGCAACTACCATGATCTATCTCACCTCTCTGTGGATACTGGTGTATTGAAGGCAACTACCATGATCTATCTCACCTCTTACTGTCAAACTTCTGTCCAGGTATAATGACATCATCAGTATATTTATCCTCATCGTCATCGTCACTTAATTTCTCCTATGGACATAAAATGTTATGCACGTAAGTGACAACTGAAACGTCATGATACTGGGTGAAACGGGGAAATTCAAAATTCAAGAACGCATTTTTCCTCAACTTTCTTTCCGTCCATTAAATCTTGATGCAGTTTATCCGACAGTTCAGCTGTTGTTTCGCCTACAAAGAAATATCAGTAAGCTTCGCTTTAGAAAACTTATAGATAAAGATGAAGTCCATACATAAGCGCACGGGAGCTATCATTTCTGGAGAGGGAGTAAGAAATTTTCCCAATTCACAAAGAGGTCCCGCCGTAATTTCGCCCGTTAAAATTTGCCCAACTTTCCAACTGCCCCTGTCCTGTACGCCTATGGGTTCATAAAGTACTCGTATCAATGATAAATATAGATCAATCGGAGAGTAGAATATTTAGATGAATGAAAAAGAGAACTTTACTCCGTGATGAGTACTCGCAGTGCTACTGGCCAAGAGGTTCATTAAGTAAGAATGCGATGATAAGAACAATTTGAAGTTCGGTTTCTTTGTTCACAAAAACTTTCGCTTACCATTTCCATTTTTTGATATTCTTCTAGCACCTTTGGTGTTCTTCAGGATCATATCCAACCCATCTTAAAGTAACGAACACCATGCAAAATCAATGGCGAAGTACTCGCTGTGTACATAACTACAGCGACGTATCACTGAACAATCCCACTTCATGTAAACCATGTATACCTGTCTCTTTTGCCATCGTAGTCAAAGCTATGTTGTTCAGGGACATATTCGTCGGGTTTTATATCTTCACCGGTGAATTTAGCACCTACACGTCTAGGACGCTACCAAGTTAAGTGAAATAAATACTACAGATTGTAAAATAAGCAACGCGATTTATGAATGCCATATTTTCATACTTTAAAGATCATTTTATTAAATTACAACATGCAGGGTGCAATCACAAGAGTCGTTTAAATGTTTCTTGTTGTGCGTAGATTACCGTGAAGCATTGACTTTGAGCCCTCTGAATATAACAACACGCCCATTGTATTAGCCCATCATATATCGCTCACGAAAGTAACACGTGCAGGTCTTACAGTCGAGAGTATACGGTAATCCTTTAATCTTGCAAGTCATTGATTTAAAGTGATAACCGGATCCGGATTTAGGCTCTACTATCCTCGATGTTCAGCTAGGCAAATATTCCCATTAAAAAAGACCGACGCCACTAATCAATCTCATCAGACAACAAGAGTTAAAACAGATTTCAAATACATAATTATCATGAAAGAAACCTCTAGACAGTCTTTTTTCTTGTGAGTAATCGCAACACAGTTTTCACAGGCTCCCTTTCGAAATTTTATCGCTGCAGTCTAAAGATTTAGACAGGTTACATTACATAATTTTCAAAACGATGAAAATTCACCAACGTGTAACTCGCTACCTCTTTCAAGCCACGTTTATACGATGCATCAATTTTCGCAAACTGTTTTTGCCTTTCTTCCTGTGGCCTTTGATGCTTGAGAGTTGGTCTAAATATTGAGAAAAATCATTTAAGGTCTGCATTTGTACTTTTACACAGGACATGGTTTGAGTTAAAACAATCTTACAACTTTTCATTGTAGAATAATATTCATTGCAATGTTATGTGGTGTTCATTGTTAAAGACAAGGATGAATCTACAATGATTTTGTGAATGGAATGGTGGTGCTCAAGCTTGGATTGCATTTCCATGGTTACTTGTCAATGTAGCATATCCAACTCTTTTTTGTGAAACAACTGTTGGGAGTTCAATTCTAGTAAAAGCTTATTTTTGGTTTGTACTGTGCACTTGGAGCAGTTTTGATATATTTTTCAAAGGGAGTCAAAATTTATGTCAAAACAAAAGCTCTGGCAGTGAGATTTTTGTAAATGAGTAAAAACATTAATGTTTGAAGTCAAAATCAGATAGAGTCGAATATAGATAATTTATGTATAACGAAAGATAACATGACATCTTTCGTTATACATAAATTAAAATACTATATTTCGACTGTATCTGACACTATGACAACTCTCAGAGTATTTTTGCTCTCACACTATGACAACTGCATAATGTGAGAGCAAAATATTTTATGACAAAGTGATTCAGAGACAAGGTGCTGTTTTTCATGAAAGTAAAACTATTTTGTAAAAACCTTTTCTTCATTCATAGCAAGATTTTCCAGTGTGGTGGGTAGTTACAGTATTTGAAAGACTGTGAAATTTAACACTAAGTTTTTTTGGCCAAAGCTGAAGTTTTTTATCCCGACCAGATCCAGAACCTGAGGTGAAGGTGAAAACCCTCGAAAACTACTCTTTGCATTAGCAAGTTGCTTTGAAAGTTCAAGATGTTGATGTTGAACTTCGGAAATTGATTGCTTTACACTAAAGTCAACAATTTTTGTTCTGCATATACTATTTGTATTTCAGTAAACAAACAAGTTGAATATATGATTTTGCATCAAATTTAAAAATCCAAGCCAGCAACCTCAGCAACAAACTATACTAAACAACACAATATAAACTATTTAACATACCCAGATGCTCCATAGTACCAAGATCCGAAATATATTGAGGAATATGAGGGTTGATGTCTCTAGATAAAGCAAAATATTGAATGTATCAGATATTATGAAAATATTTACACAATTCATAAATAAAGTACTTTAAGCACTACTTTACAAGATCTTCAGTGGTTTAAAAAACCAAGTAATTTTAATTATCGCATAACAAGACAACACTTGGACATAGGATTTTATAAAGTGAATGGTTCAGACACACATGACATGTTTTCTCACAATATGTGTTATATTTATTCCACATACAATCTAGAATTATTATATAAACTTTAAAATTTAAACAATAAACAAACTAGTATATTTTAAATTTATTTATATATAACGTGAATCATTTCTAAGTAATATATTTTTAATTTGAAATGCTTCGTAAAATTCATAAATAATGAGATATAAATTAGTTGAACTTGAAATCGAATGTTTGAAGTAGAAGGAAACTGTTAAGTATTCGCAATCACAAAATTACGAACATAAAAAGGCGCAAGATGGTTAGCCTTTGACAAGTAAAAGAAAGTTTAGACGGTACACATACTTTCCTGTTTCATCCTGCAAAGCTGGTGCAGTTCCTGCCTTTCTAGCTTCTTCTAATTCTTTTCTTTCTTCCAATCTGTTCTTGTCATTTTTGCTGAGAACTTGCCGCACTTTGCAGCTAAATCGAGATCGAGCACAGACGCCATATTGAAATTTGGCACGTGAAACGTGAACTGAAAGATAAATACACCATCG